AAGTTAATACACCACTTTGACTATTTTTTGCAATTCGAATCACAGGGCCCAATTTCGGGCTTTTTGTGCTGACATGACATTTTATGGCTGACGTGGCGTTCCACGTGCCAATGACATGGCTTTTTTTGCTGACAGGGCGTCCTGCGTGTTAATTGAAATAAAAAAAAATTGTTGGTCAAGAGATTTGAACCTTAGACATTAAGCTTCCATTGTAGCTCTACAACCACCACACCAATATAATTTAGTTGGTGATTCTAATAACCATTTATATATATATATATATATATATATATATATCAAATTAAATTAAATTATAATGCAAATTATATTAAATTAAAATAATAAATATAAATTAAAATAAGTTAAATTATAAAAAATAAAAAAAAATTAAAATAATAAAATAAATTAAGATAAAATGTATTGTAGTAAAATGATTAAACTTAATTAAATTAAATTTATATATATATATATATTATTTGTTAAATATAATTGATTATATAAATTTTGAAGTGAAAAATAATAATGTAAACTTAAATTAAAAATAAACTAAACCAAAGTACACCATTAATATAATAAAAATAATATAATACAAAAAAAGGTAAAGTAAAATAAAATAAAAATAATAAATATAAGAGCTTATGATGAAACATTAAACTAAAATCAATAAAAATTTAAATGAATATAATGAAATATGAAATATTATTATCAAATATTATTAATATGTTTTACTCTAGCATAAAATATGAATTAAAGTTATATATTTTAATTATCTTGTTTATTTTAATTTATTTTATTTTCGTTTAATTTTTATAATTTATTTATTATAAATTTATATTTTATTAATTAATTTAATAATTTACATTATCTTTTAAATTTGATTTAATTTATTCATATGTAATGTCTATATATATAAAACGCTGTCAAATTTATCACCTAACTTGGATTGGTGTGGTGGTGGAAGAGTGACCATGCAACTCTCACATCCCAGGTTCGAATCCCATGACCAACATAATTTTTTTTATAATGAATTTACACATGGAATCATGTCAGCGCAAAACACCATGTCATTGATATACTGAATGCCATGTCAATGCCACGTCAGCTGTAAAATGCCATGTCAGCACAAAAAGCTCGAAATTGGGCCCTGTGATTCGAATTGCAAAAAATAGTCAAAGTGGTGTATTAAATTGCTAAATTACAAAGGTGGTGATTAAATTGCAAAAACATGAAAGGTGGTGTATTAATATGCAATTTTGCCTTAATTTAAAAATTAATCATTCTATGACATCATTTCTACATGAGCATTTCACTAAAGCATCTTTCATATAACTACATTTACATTCAATTCAAATATTTGTTAGTACATTTAAATGCCAAATTATTATAGTATTGGGCCCATTAATTATATCATTCATTTGTCATTAAGGCCATTTAATTGCTGTGCCTCCACCATTTTTTCATTTAAATCATAGTTGTTTTTAAACCCAGCCCGGAAATCGACCCGGCAAAGGTCTCCGGGTCACCGGGTCAATTGTTGAACCGGATAATTAATTTTAAAAAATTTTAAATTATATATATAGTATTTTTGACATATAAATATACATAAAAATAACAAAAATAAATGTTTGCTTATAAAATTTGTACATCAAAGTGTTAAAAGAATTATATCTCATAATAAATATTTACTATATCAATATATATAAATAATATTTATTTTGTATAAAAAAATATTTAAAAAATAAAAAATATATAAGGACCGGGTCAACTGGGTTGACCCAACCAGGTCAATTGCCCGGGTTGGCCGGGTTTGACTGTTACCCGGTCTAAATAGCCTACCCGGACCAATTCTGGTTTCCGTTTCAGTTCCGGGTGGCCGGGTCCCCGGTCGACCCGCTAGGCCGGGCGAGGTTGAAAAACAGTGATTTAAATGATTTATTATGCATTTGTATTCAAAATCTTGACTCAGAAACAAATGATCCTTTGTGGAAAAATTAGCAAAGTTTTTAAGGAAAAAAGTTATACTTTCCATGGATCCAAGACCATTTACCAGCCATATTGTACTCCCTCCTATTCATAATAAGTGTCGTTTTGGAAAGTTGCACAGTTATTAAGAATATTTTTTTTGCCAATAATAACCCTAATTAATGAGAATAGAGATGATATTTTGAGAAAAGATGAAGAGTGAATATGAAAAGACGTAGTGTATTTATTAGCTAGATGAAGGTAATAATGGAAAAATATGTACAAAATATCCAAAAGGACATTTACTTTGTTAATAGTTGATAATGCCAAAATGACATTTAAAAAGAATAGGAGGTAGTACATTATATTTTCTAAAACTCAAACATATGATCAATTAATTAATATACATGTAGTTTGATGTGTCTTCCCAAATCTATCATTTTCAGGATGACGTTTGCTCTTGCAGAAATCTCGCTTCTAATTGGGCTGAGCATCGAATCGGGCCATCTCACCAACTGGGCCACGCCCCGGCCTAGTTGCCTAGCAAACAAACCGGGCCTGTTCACGACTGGTGGAGTTTTGGGTCTGGTGACCGTTTTTCTCGCCTCAGGCCTCTACATAACTGCTCTTCGAGTGGAAACGCGTTTTGAAGCGCGAGAAAGTATGAGACGCGCGATATTGGAGGCAAGTGCCACGTATGCAACCCCACCAGGAACGCCAGCTGGAGTCAACTCTTTGACTAGACAAGAATATCGGAATAATAATTTGGATGGGTTGCAATATTACTTGACGGTATTTGACAAGCCCAATTCGAATATAGTATGAATAAAGGGGCTAAAATGAAAAAGTACATATTTTATTTTGTGAATTGAGGGTACAAGTAATTGAGCATTGAGCATACAATTGGGCAGAAGTTTGACGAGCTTCATTATTG